TTAGCAGCGTGGCGGCTATACCGGAGGAAGCTACGGCTACAGCAATGTTTTTATCTTTCCGTAAAAGTAAAGTAAAGTTACAGTCTATATACGTCCCACTGCTGGGCACAGGCCTCCTCTCATTTCTGAGAGGGTAGCCGTGGTAGCTCAGATGGTTAGCGCTCGCTGTAAATCTTTCCGTACTTGCGCTAATAATAAATTTAATAAAAATGTCTTCTCAGTTCCTCCAGGGGCATCTAAAAAGAAAAGTGCACCATTTCCAGATTCAATTTGTCCTAATACTTTGTCAAAAACTTGTTTTTGTTCGAAAAGCAAGCGGGGTACAAATTTGGCTACTTGCTGCTGCAAAGCTGGTATATCGTAGTTTGTTTCACGTATAATTTCATCACCTAGTTCATTTTCGGTTGTTCGCTGAGGGCTTATCTTTCCAAAGTCGCTTAATTTTTTTGTCTACCATTGCCATTACTTTATCTTCAATTTTTCCAAGTGCTTCATTATAAGTGTGTTCATTGTATGTCATGTTTGCGTGTGTCTCCTGTAACCTTCGCAAAATATCTTCCGCCATGTACTCTTTATATTTGTCCCAGAATTCATGTGCATTAGATAGCCCGCAAGATGATACGAGAGTTGCATAAAGATCCCTGATTTTGGCTAGTGACAGGCACTGCATAGCTATCTCCATGGTTTCATCCCAGTGATTATCGTTTTCTAAAATATGCAGAGCTTCACATGCTTCTCTATAAGTTGCGTATTCCTGACCGTTGACAGTTTTAAGGTCTTTATATGCTATAGGACCCCAAACATGGTGCAGCAGCAATCGTAAACAGAAACATTCAAAATTAGTTACATGGACGGTGTACACACGACCAAGGGCATCTGATGACTTTACACCGGGCCAATTTGCAACAGGTGTGTCTTGAATACGGCGTTTCCACTCCTTCCTAGATGTGTTCCAAGTATAATAGCGGAGGACTTCAGAATATAACAACGTTTTTGCAAAGGGGTCGGTTTGACAAAGTTGAAAGAAGGCTGTTAGTGTAGTTTTTGGCGGTGATGCAATTCTTTCTTGGAAATTTCTTTCGGTGAAATATACACGCTCTCCATTTTCTAAGTGCACAGCAAGGTGAGTAACTGTTGGGTGCCTTTCGTGTAAAGGAACCCAAGGAGACGCCATGCTGCCTCGTTACTGCTGACATAACACCCTGCTTGAAAGGTCTGTACTTCATTAACGGGATTTGCCTCACCTTCACTCCTGAGATTAAACATTGCTTGGTCGCTTCCTTTATTTATGTACTTACAGATATAATTGATTGCGCAGACAGAGCTACATGCTTCTACATTAATGTGGGCATTAAACATTTTACATAGAATGGGCGAATACGGGACAATCCAGCTGTTATCTAAGGTTTAGAACGCTCCAGAGCGAGATTTGATTGTAACTTTCCAGCCACCATCTTCGGGAGCTCTGTATAAAGGGTAGCCACATAGTTGTCATTGTGCACTGTTTCTTTAGTTATAATTTTTAATTGTATATTTAGTTAATAGCTGTTTAGGGAATTTCTTTGTACATTTTCCTTCTTTCATACATGGCGATATTGAATTTCGTGCTCCACATGGACCGTGAATCATATTTCGGACGATGGTATCATACAACTCTTTATCTTGCTCAGGATCCGGAATCTCGGCGCCTATTATGTCGTCTATTTAGCAGGGCCGCAACTTCTCTTTAAGCAATATTAGAATGTGAGCATGCGGTAATCCTCTTTTGTGCCATTCAGTTGAATACATGAAGCACTGCACCTCTCCGAAAATTTTCCCTTTGTTAATTACATACATTAATTTTTGTACTTTTAATCTAAATACTCTAGCAACTAAATTGTGTCTGTCAGTACTTTTTGGCCCAGCATTAGCTCCTCGGTTATTCCTTTCCATGTGGGATTGCAAGTAAAAGTAACAAAAAGATCAGGTCTTCCGTATGTTGGTACATAGGCGAATGCGTCTTGTGTGTACTCATGTAGGTAGCGGGGACTGTTAACGAATGATGAGGGCAGAATTACCATTTTAACTAAATCTTTTAACAGTGGTAGAGCCACGCGGCAGCTTTGCTGCCGCACGTATGGGCCGGCTCAAACCGGGGTGGTACCACGCCCTCACAGCATACCGGCGTGAAGTGGAAGCTCTGCTTCCGCGTTTCGTCTGGTGAGTGCAGGTGGCCGGAGGCCCGAATCCCCCCCACCCCATCAACATGGTAGCGGAATTAAATGATAGACTACCCCAGGAGGGTACCAGCACCTCTGGAGAATCCCTCGCTGAGCATCCACGACTGTGCTCAGGCTGCCCCACGTATTCTGGGGGGGGGGGCAAAATTCCGCTCAAGACTAAAACTGCTCGGGGCAAACGGAGCAACAAGACCAAGGCGACCCCTGCCACGCTGTCCGTGAATTTCTGCAATATCAGGGGACTTCACTCTAACCTAAACGCCGTCCACTACCATCTCGAGACGGCGAGGCCGGCTCTGCTCTTTCTGACCGAGACGCAGGTGTCCTCTCCGGCTGATGTCTCGTATCTCTCCTGCCCGGGGTACAAACTGGAACACTCCTTTGTGCCTCGGGCTGGAGTTTGCGTTTACGTCAGAGAGGACATCTGTTCTCGACGCCTCGGCAGACTTGAAGGTTCGGACCTGTCCATCCTTTGGCTACGCGTAGACAGCGACGACCATCCGCACGTCTACGGGTGCCTCTATAGGTCCCATAGCGGTAATGCCGAAACAGACCGACTCTTCGACCACGTCCAAATGGCTGCAGATTCGTTGCTACAGCAGATCCCCTCCGCAGAGATCGTGATCCTCGGCGACTTTAACGCCCATCACGCCGAATGGCTCGGTTCACGTTTAACCGATCATGCGGGGAGATCTGTTCATGATTTTGCCTTGGCATATGGTCTGACACAACTGGTTACTTCGCCTACGCGGATTCCAGATGTGGAGGATCATGCACCTTCCCTGTTGGACCTTCTGCTGACCTCTCACCCGGACGGATATCAGATTTCCGTCGACGCCCCTTTAGGATCCTCGGACCATTGTCTTGTCCGGAGTGTGGTGCCACTCACGCTGAAATCGCGGTTGCATTCTGCAGGCTGCCGCCGTATTTGGCACTATAGGTCAGCCGATTGGGATGGGATGCGGTCTTTCTTTGCATCCTACCCTTGGGGGCGGGTTTGCTTCTCGCCGGACGATCCCAACGTTGTTGCGGATTCTGTCGCTGATGCGGTACTTCAGGGTATGGAACTTTTTATTCCTTCCTCTGTGGTGCCCATTGGAGGCAAATCTCAGCCATGGTTTGGTCGCTCCTGTAAAATAGCATCATGCTATAAGCAGGAGTGCTACCGAGCTTGGGCTGACGCATTAGCGTCCAGGGATATAAACACCAGCGCTCTAAAAAAGAAGTATAATTCCGCCTCTAGGTCCTTCAAAAGAGTCTAGACTAGTTCGTCTTCCTTCTGGAACCCGTGCATTCTGGTCTCTCGCCAAGGCTGTCCAGGGGAATTTCTGTCATCCATCTCTTCCATCTCTGCACAGGGATGACGACTCACTGGCCCACACCGCAAAGGAGAAAGCCGATCTTCTAGGCTCTTTCTTTGCGTCTAACTCGACTCTCGATGACGGGGGGAGTACGCCGCCGACCATCCCGCGGTGTGAGTGCTCCATGCCGGAAGTGCAGTTCACTCAGCGCTCGGTTCGCAAAGCACTCCTCTCCCTGGACATCCATAAGTCGAGTGGGCCTGACGGAATCCCCCCCAATTGTGCTGAGGACGTGTGCTCCAGAGTTGGCACCGGTTTTAACGCGTCTTTTCCGGTACTCCTACTCCCTAGGCGTAGTCCCAAAATCATGGAAGACGGCTTTCGTCCACCCGATCCCTAAAAAAGGCGACCGCTCAGACCCGTCCAACTACCGGCCTATCGCCATCACCTCCTTGTTCTCCAAAACAATGGAGTCCATTGTAAACTGCCAGCTCATGAGGTACCTTGAGGATCACCAGCTGATTAGTGACCGCCAATACGGTTTTCGCCGTGGTAGGTCAGCTGGTGATCTTCTGGTCTACCTAACTCACAGATGGGCGGAGGCAGTAGAGTCCAAGGGGGAGGCATTGGCCGTTAGTTTGGACATTGCGAAGGCCTTCGATCGGGTTTGGCGTAGCGCATGCAAACCGATAATCAATAACCGATAATTTATCGGTAATCAGTTCATTTTTTTCACCGATAATTATCGAAAAATTTCTTAAAAATACCGATAAACGATAATTTCATAAAGGTTTTATGCAATCATTTCCATCACTACCGCGAGTTATTTTTTGGAATTCGCGCTGCGTGCAGTGGCATTCCACTAGCCCGTGTCTATAGCTCTCTTGCTCATTCATTTCATGACCAACACAAGTGCGCAGTCGCGTGCAGGACAGAACGCGCCATTAAGCGCGGCGTGGGAAGTTTGTTCAGTGTGATCCAGTGTGGTGTGATGTTTGGTTGGTTGCGTTGTGTTCTGTTGAGCGTGCTTCGCTTTTTTGTCTACACGACGCTAAAGGATTTACAGTAGGTAAGTAAAATAATCTAGATAGATAGATTTTAAGTAGATTTTTTATATTATGTACTTGTTTGACGTTCGCTTTATAAGCCCACTTCATATTCATACATCTTCTTTACTTCATAGCCCACAGTGGTCAGTCATATAAGTTGGTAATTTTATATAATATTTTAACTTTAGGTAGGCACACGTTATTTAAATGTTACGTAGTGTGTTTAAAAGTTTATTTACTTACACAATACTTAAATATCATTCGCAGTATTACCAAATTACCGTATTTTTATCGAGATCACGTCTCAGGGTGTCTCAGTCTACCAGTGTTGCCCGTAGCTTCGAATTTCGAATCATAATATTATTAGTAGTGTGAATATTAAAAATATCTTTTGTTTTAGGTACTTACTGCAACGAGTGAATTAATCAATAATGTCAAATAAAATAAACTACATTCCTGTATACAAAAAAAGTTCCGATCCAACGTCGGTTTGGTATCATTTCCTAAAGGCCGATACGGGTGATTCTGCAAAATGTAAAACATGTGAAAAAGTTATTAAGTGTGCGGGTGGTACTACAACAGGACTACGCAGCCATTCAAGATTACATAATATTTCACTTGACAGCGAAAGGCTTGCTTCAGAAGTAGCTAGGGAAACTGCTGGGACTTCCAAAAGAAAAAATGATAACTCTTTATTGGAGTCACCAGTTTCAGCGAAAAATTTCAGAATGACCGACTACTTCTCACAATCAAACAGATCATTGTATGTTATGGTATCAAGAATGACAGCACTTGACGGTATGCCATACAGGGCATTTACAGAATCTGAAGACCTGAAGCATCTATTTAAAAAAGCTGGTTATAAATTACCTACGAGCGCAAATACTATAAAAGATGTGACTATAAAGTTTTATGATAAGACTAAGAAAAACCTTATAAAGGAAATACAGGAACTAAAGGATGAAGGACACAAATTTTCGGTTTCAATAGATGAATGGACATCTTCAAGAAATAGGCGATATATGAATGTGAATCTTCACTGTGCATTTTTCAAAGGTTAGGTTAGGTATTTTTTAAAGGTACCACCACACGACGAGAAATCTTGGTTTATGTAGGACGTATGGCTCTGTTACCGCTATCAAGTGTGAAGAATACCTGCGAGAAAGGCTACACGAATTTAAATTAGATTTTGACACTGATGTGATCGCCATTATATCTGATGGAGCTTCTGTTATGACAAAACTAGGAGGAAATTTAAACTGCATACATCAGTTATGCTTAGCTCATGGCTTGCAATTGGCCATCGTGGATACGTTCTACGTAAAAAATCAAGAAAACGTAAATGAGGCTCAAGAAGAACTTGCCGAAAACGAAAATAATCTGAACACTGTTTGCATTGGCACTGAAGATGATACTGAGACTGGTGGATTTCAAATAGAGCAAGCTCCAACTGTAACAGTTGACGTGGAGACAAATATTAAATTTGGGCTTGTTGTAGAAAAAGGTGAGGAATATTGTGCGGATGTTCAGAAAGTCAGCAACGAAATCCGATATTCTTCAAAATTACATAAAAATGGAGCTTGGTAAAGAATACGCACTGATATTAGACTGCAAGACGCGCTGTACTCTTTGCAATATGATTGGTAGGTTTATTAAAGTGAAAAGAGCAGTCTTAAAAGCACTCATTGATGTAAAATGTGATATCCAGATTAATGAAGTGGAGTGGTCTATTCTCGAAGACATTTATGAGAATCTCGATGTAATGAAAGTTACTGTTGAAGCTGTTTGTCGCGAAGATGCTACTCTGCTTAGTGCTGATGCTGCCATGATTTTTGCACTTAAAAAACTTGAAACTCGTAACACGTTGCTTAGTAAGGAGCTTCATGCAAGTCTGAGCAAAAGGATCAAACAAAGGCGGCTACCAGTTGCAAGTCTAATGCAATACGTTCACAACCCAGCAACATATTTTGAAGAAAATGAATATGACGCAGATGTTTATCCGCGCTTGCCTAACGATTGTCTGCAAGAGATGGTATTGGGGCTTCTAAAATACGATTCGGCCGCACAATCTTTTACTTGCAACGATGTCAATGACTTACCTACTGATGATTCGCAGAATGAAGTCGGCAGCAATTCCTCATTATCAAATAAAGAATTAATTAACCAACAAATCAGCAAAATTATCTTTGATGACACGAGAAGAGTTGGAATTGGAAATCTTTCAACGTCTAAAGAAGACTTATTGACACTACTGAAGGTTGAAATGCTGTTATTTGAAAATGGAGGTGATCGAGGCCAATTGCTGTCAAAAGCTTATCGATGGATTCGTTCAATTAAGCCAACAAGTGTAGAGAGTGAACGCGCTTTTTCTGCGGCTGGAATATTATGTAATAAACTGCGCACAAGCCTTAGCGACAAAACTATAAATTGCTTGTCGTTTCTTCGCACTTATTTCCAACAACAAAAAAATTGTAAATAGATTATGTATGTTAATAATATACCTACAAATTATTCTAAATTAAACGACTGATTTAAATGTTACAATAATTGATTCCTAATGAAACCAAAAAATGTTAAGTAATAGGTTAATATTAATATTTTATTTTATTGTTTATATATTTTTTGTTTTTGTTTGTGAGAAAAAGATAGTAGTATAGCTAGTGCTATTATGATTAAGACTTGTTTTTTCTATATTGATTTTTAGTTTTATGGAAATAAAACCATATTTTTAATTAAATAACGTATTTCATTGAATTATAAAAACAATAAATTTTCTTGTAGAGAGTAGAATGCACAAAGAAAGCAATTTTAAGAGACAGGTATTTTTTTTAATGTAAATCGGTAATTCTCGGTTTTTATCGAAAAAAAAAACCCGATAAAAAATTGAATTATCGATTATCGAAAAGTTCCGATAATTGCATGCTCTAGTTTGGCACAAAGCGCTTCTTTCGAAGCTCCCTTCCTATGGGCTTCCCGAGAAATTGTGCGATTGGATCACCAGTTTTCTTGCAGATCGGAGCATCAAGGTCGTTTTAGACGGTGCAAGCTCCGATTGCAAGCTTATTAATGCTGGTGTTCCACAGGGCTGCGTGCTATCGCCAACGCTGTTTCTTCTGCATATCAATGATATGTTGCAAACCCGTAGCATTCATTCTATGCAGATGACAGCACTGGTGATGCTCTTTACACCGGCCGAGCCAATATTTCTCGGGAAAACGTCTCTGAGTGCCGGGACAAACTTGTGTCTGAAGTCGAGTCTCTGCTGGACAGAGTCTCGGATTGGGGGCGACTAAATCTAGTCCAGTTTAACCCCCAGAAGACACAAGTTTGCGCGTTAACCGCTAAAAAGAACCCCTTTGTCGTATCCCCTCAATTTCAAGGCACTCCCCTTGTTGCCTCAGCCAGTAAATCCTCGGCGTCGATATATCGAGTGACGTGCAGTTTCGTGGTCACTTGGAAGGGAAGGCCAAATTGGCCTCCAAAAAGCTTGGCGTGCTCAGCAGAGCGGGACAGTATTTCATGCCGGCACACCGCCTGCAACTTTACAAGGCGCAGGTTCGGCCGCTCATGGAATACTGTTCCCATCTCTGAGCTGAGGCTCCCCAGTACCAGCTCCTTCCACTTGACCGCATCCAGCGCAGAGCGGCTCGAATCGTCGACGACCAAGTGCTTTCCGATCGGCTCGATTTACTAGCGCTGCGAAGAGATGTTGCATCTCTTTGCGTATTTTATCGCATCTATCACGGGGAGTGCTCTGAGGAATTGTTCGGATTAATCCCAGCCGCCAAATTTCGTGAACGCACTACACGGCAAACGTCCCGATACCATCCACACCATCTGGATGCTTGGCGGATCACCACTGTACGTTTCAAAAGGAGTTTTCTTCCGCGTACAACCTCTCTGTGGAATAATTTACCACCGGTGATTTTTCCGGACCGATACGACCTGGGGACCTTCAAGAAAAGAGCTTACTCCTTTCTAAAGGGCCGGTAACGCACCTGCAATTCCCCTGGTGTTGCGGTTGATCATGGGCGGCGGTAGTCACTTAACATCAGGTGAGCCACATGCTCGTTTGCCCCCCTCTTCTATAAAAAAAAATCTCTGGGGTTTACATTGGCGTCGCTAGAAACTGCATCTTGTAAATGTATATAATTCTCAACACGAAGCTTTTTTTTTGATTTAAATATATATAACGGAGACGTTCGCTTTCTACCTTCGCATACATGTCTACCAAATATTGATGAAATAATTGTCTACACCGGGCTAAGAGGTTAAAATCATTTTCTCGCAACATCATATGATACGCATAAAAATCCATACATGATACTTTCATGATACTTTTTTGCTCCTTTGTGACCAGGCTAATGAGTGGAATTTGAAAATGATAACCCTCATGTCCTTTGCAATGGGTATTGCAGAGCGTCATAAAACTTGTGTGTATCGGCTACCCGTTGCAACGTATCATTACGTGCTCACAAGACAATGTCTCGTGAAGAAAATTGATCACCACTAATTACGTCTGCTATTTCGTTTATCAAAGGTGCATTGTAGCTCCTTTTAAGCTCTCCTCGAGGGATCCTATCTGCGTGAATGACGACTTTATAATCCTCTTCAGGTAGGTTTTCTAAACCAGTTTTAAATGTTTTGACTAAAATGGTTACATTCATGCAAAAAATCTTTTGAATTTTGAACACTGTATCTCTCTCAACTCCCTGAATAAATTGGCAGCGACGGTCTACCTCAATTTCTTCGTCACCCATAAAATATACTTGTAAAAATTTATGCTGTTCGTTTTCAGCTGAAAAAAGTGAACCTATTCCATGATAAATTTGCCCTTGCACCGTAAATGTAGGCGAAAATCCCGGCATTATTATTTCCGGTCAACTCCGAAGGATGTTTTGAAAGCATGAGTTATATTTCCGGATCCTGTTTAAAAAGCGCCGTGACTTATTAGCATCATATAAAAAGAGAGTTTTCAAAGGTTCTTCTGGTCCTCCAAGTAACGGAAGAGACACTTTGCTTTTGGAACAGCACATGCCTGCGGTCTCATCTTTCCATTTTAAAGCGCTGCAAAATCGACACGCCTTGTCCATCAGTCCGATAACAACCAACCTGTGATTTTTATAATCAATCAATGGATCATAATTGAATGCTGCGTAATTAAAAACCGACCAATTGTTTCTTTGAAAATTTTGTCGACGTTCAGCTTAGAGCTGTGCATTTGCATCTCTTCGCGCCTGAATCTGTTTTGGTGTTTCAGATGCCCTTAAAGTAGATTGACGGTCAGCTTGCTCAATGAGTCTGTGTTGAGTGTCATCAGGTATTTCTTCTCGGCTCTTAAGGCGGCCTGACGTTCCGCTTGTTCGAATAGCCTTTGCTGACTTTGAGCAGGTGTTTCAGTAGCTCTTAAAGTAGATTGACGTTCTGCCTGTTCAATACGTCTTTGCTGACTTTGATCAGGTGTTTCAGTAGCTCTTAAAGTAGCTTGACGCTCTGCCTGTTCAAGATGCCTTTGCTGACTTTGAGCAGGTGTTTCAGTAGCTCTTAAAGTAGCTTGATGCTCTGCCTGTTCAAGATGCCTTCGCTAACTTTGAGAAGGTGTTTCAGAAGCTCTTAAAGTAGCTTGACGCTCTGCCTGTTCAAGACGCCTTTCCTGACTTTGAGAAGGTGTTTCGGAAGCTCTTAAAGCAGCCTGACGCTCTATCTGTTCAAGACGCCTTTGCTGACGTTGAGAAGGTGTCTCAGATGCTCTAAAAGCAGCCTGACGCTCTGCTTGTTCTTGTCTTCTCAGTTCAGCATCTTCTAAAGATTCTAGCGATCGAGCTAATCTTTTCGCTTGTCTTTGAGAAGATACTCTTGAAAGGCTGGACTTACGTTTGCGAGGCATTATGAAGTAACAAAAAACCTATTTTATAAAAAAAACGTTAAAATACCTAAAAGAAATTAAATTTACTTTTATATATATTTTTTTAAAATCAAATCCAAAATATCTAAAAGGAATAAATATTCCTTTTAAATATTTTCTAAAATCAAAACAACAAAACCAATTCAAGACACAACACGAATCCGAAAACGATAGCTAAAAAATCGAATCAACTTAAACCAAATCACAAAACAAATCGCAGAAAACCGAAATCGTAAGCAGTAGTCAATATAAATATAACCAACGAAAAAAGAAGTAAGTGTATAGGTACCGTATACACTATTTATGCTATTAATATTCCTTTAAAATATTGTTATACAACCTAAAACCAATTCGCGATTCTAAATAAACAAAATCCAAAATCAAAGCAAGAGTCTAAATATGTATAAAGGAATACCAACCAAATCAACGGTACGGTACGGTATTAACATCAATGGCGAGTACATCACTCACCTTCGATTTGCCGACGATATAGTCATTATGGCAGAATCGCTGGAGGACTTAAGCATTATGCTCAATGACCTCAATAGTGCCTCCCAACGGATAGGTCTTAAGATGAACATGGACAAAACAAAGATCATGTTTAATGTCCATATCACACCTATGCTACCGGCATTGTTGGGAGCACTATGCTCGAAGTTGTTGACGAGTACGTTGACCTGGGACAAATAGTCCGACTAGGTAAGTCCAACTTCGACCGAGAGGTCAATCGACGGATTCAACTCGCCTGGGCAGCGTTCGGGAAATTACGGCATATTTTTTCGTCAGGTATACCTCAATCTCTAAAAACTAGATTGTACAACCAGTGCGTGTTGCCAGTGATGACTTACGGATCTGAGACGTGGTCCTTCACTGCTGGCCGTATGAGGACGCTTAAGGTCGCTCAGCGAGCTATGGAGAGGGCTATGCTTGGAGTTTCTCTGCGTGATAGACTCAGAAATGAGGATATCCGCAGTAAAACCAGAGTGACCGACATAGCCCAACGGATTAGTAAGCTGAAGTGGCAATGGGCCGGCCATATAGCTCGAAGAACCGATAACCGATGGGGAAGAAAGGTTCTCGAGTGGCAGCCTCGTACCGGTAGGCGTAGTGTAGGGCGACCCCCCACTAGATGGAGTGATGACCTGGTAAGACATGCAGGAAGTCGATGGATGCAGGTGGCTCAGGACCGTGCTTTGTGGCATTACTTGGGGGAGGCCTATGTTCAGCAGTGGACTTGTGAAGGGCTGTAATGATGATGATGATGATGAACCAAATCAACAAAACCGATCCAAGAAGATACACAAATCCGAAAATGAAAACCAATATAAATCCATTCAACCTTATCCAAATCACAAAGCAAATAACAAACAACCGAAATCGAAAGCAGGTAGTCAAATAAGCTACGAAATAGAAACAATTTAAGCGTATAGGTACCGTATGCACTATAAGTTGATGCGCGGCTCAACGGCGGGAATTAAGTACATGTTGGGTTGACGCATCAACGTCCAGGGATGTAAACACGAGCGCTCTAAAAAAGAAGTATAATTCCGCCTCTAGGTCCTTCAAAAGAGTCA